CCTACAGGCGGGCTTTGATCGATAAATAACACATAATCCAAACATGATCAAAAATATTCAACCTACTTACGGCAAAATCGTCCCCCGACTATTTTTGTTACTCTGGGCCGCGATACGCCTCGCGCGGGGCGTGCGGACAGAAGCGCCCCGTGCCCGCGGGGGCGCGCCCGCGGGGCCGCGGGTACGGATGTGCTCTTCGGCCAGGGCCCGGCGCCGCCACGCTGCCCCTGCAGCTCCCCCCCTTCAGCTCCAGCGGCCAGCACAAGACCCACAGACGCCCCCTCCTCCTCCTCCTCCTCCCCTCCTCCTCCTCCTCCTCCTCCTCCTCCTCCTCCTCCTCCTTCCCTCCTTCCCTTCTTACCTCCTCCTCCTCCTCCTCCTCCTCCTCCTCCTCCCTCCTCCTCCTTCCTCCTCCCTCCTCCTCCTCCTCCTCCTTCGGCCGCGCGCAGAGGGGGGTATGGGGGAGAAGGGGAGGGCTTCTTAGAAGGAGGCTGCTTCCCAGAAGGCGCCGCCTTAACATATCTGTAGGCAGGGCCCGCGCCTTCTACGAAGCAGTGGCTTCTAAGAAGCCCTCCCCCCTCCCGCCACCCCCCCTCTGCTCGTGGCTGAGCGCCCTGCAGTTCCCCCCTTCGGCTCCACTGGCCGGCACAAAGCCCCCAGTCGCCCCTCCCTCTCCTCCTCCTCCTCCTCCTCCTCCTCCTCCTCTCCTCCTCCTTCCCTCCTTCCCTCCTTCCCTCCTTCCCTCCTTCCCTCCTCCTCCTCCCTTCCTCCTTCCCTCCCCCTTCCCTCCTTCCCTCCTTCCCTCCTTCCCTCCTTCCCTTCCTTCCCTCCTTCCCTCCTTCCCTCCTTCCTCCTTCCCTCCCTCCTTCCCTCCTTCCCTCCTTCCCTCCTTCCCTCCTTCCCTCCTTCCCACCTCCTCCTCCTCCTCCTCCTCCTCCTCCTTCCTCCTCCTCCTCCTCCTCCTCCTCCTCCTCCTCCTCCTCCTCCTCCTCCTCCTCCTCCTCCTCCTCTTGCTTCCAGGCAGCGGTTCCTCGCTGTGCGCCACCAGGTCGTGCCAGCGGGGCTGCCGAGGCGTTACGCCCATCAGGCCTCCTCGCACGTGGCGCTCATGAGGCTTGAGAGCTCCTGCCAGAGTGTGGTCGTCGCCGGAATTCCACGGGAGGAGGGCAACTCCTCTTCAAAACGCCGCTCTCGCCATAGCGCCGCGCACAGTCGGTCTAAACAGCTCCCGCGAGATCCGTGGACGGATGGCGGCTCCTTGTCAACATGCGGATCTCGCCTTGGCGCTGCGCACGCTCAAGAAATACATGGATTGAAGGTGGTTCCTTTTCTACGGCTTCCGCTTGAACCTTATTCCAAATATATGACCACATATTTGAACGTGCGCAGCATCTGCACGGATGGAGAAGACATCATGTTCAACATCGACCTCTTGCCTGGGACTTCCTCTGGACTCATGCTCGGAAGTTTCAATTTGCGCATAAACTGGTTACGCACATCAGTGAGGGCTAATCTTATTCTGCCTACAGCGCGCTCTCGCAAACCTGGCCGCGATGCCAACGAATTAGGCCCAACTGCCTCCTCCAGATTCCACCAGCATCTTGCCAGAAGGATTCGGAGATCTGGGCGAAAGCGGCCAGAAACCTCCACCCTCGATGCGTAAGAGCAAAACGGGGTACGAGGAGGCTCAATCGCCCTCCTCCCCGCCCTTGCCATGCCCCTTCTCTCCTTCCTCGCTGCTCGACGCCAACCCCTGGTCGGGGCGCGCGCCTGGCCGGGCCGCCCGGCGGGTACTCATCGCGAACACTGCCCGCGATCCTCCCTTCCCCGCGCCGGGGAGCCTGTCGGCTGGAGCCCGGCGCGGAAGCGGGGGGGAACCTCACCTGGGGCCCTCGGAGAAGGGGCGCACCCGGCAGCACCCCCAGCATGTGAACTGGTGGAGCGCCGCTCGGGCGGGGAGCCCCGACGGCCCCGCGGTCTTCCAGCGCCGTCCTCCGCGTGCCTCTTTCGGGCGCGCGCCACCCGGTGCATTGCCCACGCAGAGTCAGGGGCCAGTCCATGCGAGATGTGTCTTTTCTCGCCGTGGGGGGCCCCTGGATGCGCCCCGTGTGCCGCGGCCAGGGGCCCGGCGCCCTTTCACGCCGAGGCCTTCTCACCTCGTCCGCGCTCGGCCCCCCCGCGCGGGGTGCTCACCCCCTCGTGGGCGGAGGGGCGGCGGGGCCCCCCTGCATCTCCCCTTCTCCTGCCCGCCCCCCCCCCGCTGGCGGTGCCTCGAGGATCCTGGTGCCGCAGGGCGCGGGGCCGGGCAGAGCCCGGGGGCGGCCGTGCTTGCGCGGCCGCCGGCACGGCCGCTGGTCCTCGGGTCCCGTGGCCCTTCGGGGCACGCCGGGAGGCCCCTTGGAGGAAGAGGAACAGGAGGAGGAGGAGGAGGAGGAGGAGGAGCAGGAGGAGGAGGAGGAGGAGGAGGAGCAGGAGGAGGAGGAAGGAGGAGGAGGAGCAGGAGGAGGAGGAGGAGGAGGAAGGAAGAGGAGGAGCAACTCTTTCGCCCCACTCTGCCACGCGCCGCGCGGAACGCCTGGCAGCGTGTTCCGCAGGCCAGGCACTGGGCCGCCGAGGGGGATGCACCGAGGCGGCGCCGCTTCTTCCCAGGGCTCGCGCCGCAGCGCGTCTGAAGCTGGCGCCCCTGTGCTTACGGGAGTGCAGAGGGTACGAGTCTCGCCCAGATCACCTCATCCAGCTTCTGCTTTCCAGCCGGGGTCCCTTCGACCGCGCCAGGGGTGGTGCTGACGCCACCCCTGCCTTTCATGTGCGGCTCCTCCAGCCAGAGAGGGTGCGGGCAGACGGAGCTTGGATCCCTTCGCCCGTAAGCCGGACCTGGTCCGAACTGCTGCGCTCTCTCTCTCTCTCTCTGTCTCTCTTTCCCTCTCTCCCCCCTTCTCTCCCACTCTCCCCCTCTCCGTCCTTCTTTCCTTCCTTCCTTCCTTCCTTCCTTCCTTCCTCCTCCTCCTCCTCCGCCGCCACGTCCGTCTCCTGCTCCTCTGGCACTACTCTCTCCTCATCCCCCCATCATCTTCCCTTGCTTCATCCTCCTTCTCCTCCCCCCCTTGCCCCCTGCACCTCCTCCCCCACTCCTCCTCCTCATCCTCCTTCCCCTCTGTCTGCCCCTGTTGTTCTATCGAGCACACCGCCAGCCTCCTGGGCCGCAGGACTAGAAGCCTCCTGGATGGGGCCGGAGTAGATGGGGTCGGAGGATCGCGCTGCATCGCCGATACATCGGCGATGCATCAGCGACGTATCGGGGATGCATCGGCGATGTATCGGCGATGGACCGGCGACGTCGGCGTGGAAAAACATGGGCTCCACATCGAGCCGCATCGGCGATGCATCGGCGATGCATCGGCGATGCTGCGCGATCCTCCGACCCCATCTATCCCGACCCCAGCTATAGGAGGCCTAGAAGGACTCCCCCGGCAGACGGAGCGGGCCCTCCCAACGGCTGCCGGCCTGCCGGCGACGCGCGGCGAGCCCCGGCGAGCCTGCCGCAGGCAGTGCCTGGCGGGGGCACCTCGCTGGACGCCCCTTCGGTGGCGCGCACGTCGTGCCTTGGAGGGCCCCCGGGACCGAGAGGTGCCGTTGGGCTGGGGATGCCATGGGGGGGATGGAGGGATGAGACGGGGGGACCCTGACCTTCCAGAGAGCTATTCTTTAGCACTGGAGGCCTAAAAGCCTGAAAAGCGGAGCGAGACGGCCTAAAACCAAGACGTAGAATAGCTCTGGGATTGGTTTTTAGGTCGGGTACCATTTTTTCGCCCTCCTGGAAGGTCAGGGACCCAGATCGCGAAGCCCCTGGGCGCCCCCCTCGGGCCCGCTGTGGGCCGGGGGCCATTCCTGGGCCTGGTCTGAGGCGCGGTCGTGGGTGGTGGGGGGTCTGCCATCGCCGCCTCTCCGTGGCCTCCGCCGCATTGTGGGGGGGGGTCCCCTCCTCCTGTTCCGTGCTGCCTTCCTTCCTTGCCTATATGCGTGCTTCCATATTTGTCGTCATCCTTCCCTTCCCTCCCTCCCTGCACAGCTCCTGCCACCCTCAACTGTCCTTCCTTCCCCGCTCCTTCCTTTCCTTCCTGTTTCATGGCGTCCTACTTCCTCTCCCTCCTCCTCCCCCTGCATTCCTCTTCCTCCAGCTTCTCCTGCGGTTCCGTCCTCCGTAAGGCTGTCGCTTTTGCTTCCGGCTCCTTGATCGGTGTTGACGCGGCGGTCCTTGCTAGCTCTTCCGATCTTTCCGCTGGAGAGCGGCCCACTGGCCCCTCCCAGGGTCCGTCTTGGCGGGTTGCTCAAACTGCGCCCGGCTGTGGCAGCGCGAATCCCAAGAAAAAAACACCCCAAGCATCCAGAATGAGGAGATGATGTCGACGACCACTGCCACGATGACCAAATGGCCACCATGACGACGACGACCACGACCACGAACACGAACACGACCACAACCGCCGCGACCACGACCGCGACCGCGACCGCGACAATGACCACGACTACGACGACGACAACGACCACGACCACGACCACGACCACGACCACCACCACTACCGCCACGACCACGACCAACACAAGGACGACGACCACGACAACGACCAAGACCACGACCGCGACAACGACCACGACCAAGACAAGGACGCCGACGCCCGCGCGCGGGTGTCCTCGTCGAGAGCCAGCACGACCTCGCCGACGACGACGACCAACACCACCACCACGACACCACGGCCACGACCACGACCACCAGGACCACGACCACCACCACGACCACCACGACAACGACCACCACCAAAACCACGACCACCACCACGACCACGACCACGACGACGACGACGCGGACGCCGACGCCGACGCCGCCGCCGCCGACGACGACGACGATTCCCTCCTGTCCATCCTCCCTTTCTCCTCCTCCTGCCCGCCTCGCCCCCCTCCCCTGCTGGTGGAGCCCAGGCCGCCGCGGGCGGGCGAGGTGCCTTTGCCGCCAGCTCCGCCAGGCGCGCGTCGTGGGCCCCGGCAGCCGCGGCCCGCAGGACGCGCGCGGCCGCGCTCCGCGAGGCCAGCGAGCTCAGCGAGGTCTGGCGCCGGCCGCCCGCGGGTCGGGCCCGCGGCAGCCGAAAGAGCCGAGACGAGGGCCGCTGCAGCCAGGGCGCTGAGGTGAGACGAGGGGCCTTGCGCCGAGGCGCCGAGGCGAGGGCCGCTGAGATGCGAGGGCTGCCGGCACGGGGGCCGCGGCGGGCTCTGCGGTGGGGGGCGGCCGCGAAAGAGAGCCGCTGCAGCCAGGGCGCTGCGACGACGGGCCATTGCTTCCGTGCCGCCCCTCAGGGCCACGTCGGGGGAGCCCACCCGTGGCCGAGGCCCGCCGTGGCCAGAAGGGCCCCCGCCGTTCCTCCCTCGGCGTTCCTCGCGGTAGCACGATGGCTACATCGACCTTCGGCCTGTGCCCCCCCCCCCCCACACACACACACCCGGCCCCCCCCAGTCGCCCAACCGAGGATGGCAAACGAGGGGCGAGGGGCGCGTCGGGATGGACGATCGGAGGAGGAGGAGGCGGAGGAGGAGGAGGAGGAGGAGGCGGAGGAGGAGGAGGAGGAGGAGGAGGCGGAGGAGAAGGAGGAGGAGGAGGAACTTTTTTCTAGGAGCAGCAGCAGCGCAAGCAGCTAAAAGGGGATTGACACCGCTGGAGAAGAGAAAGGAAAGCAGAGACACAGAGGCTCCGCCACCCCCTGGGGCAAAAGGGGGCACAGGCGAGACGTCCACGTCGCAGCGGCCCCAATCACTGACACCACATCTGGGAGGAAGTCCTTTCCTCAGCCTCGCGAGATGCGCAAGCTGCGCCTTTTTGCACCTTCTGAGCCCAAGTCCCCCAGCTTGGTGGAGGACGAGTACCTGCCGCGCGCTGAACAAAAGACAGCGCGCACCCTTGGTCCACGGCGCGCGGGGCGGGCGGGGCGCCCTGCCCCGGGAACCTCGACCGCGGGGCAACCGACAAGGGGGTGCGCGAATTAAGGCCGAAGGCCCCAAACAGGTGCTCGTCTATGGGAGGTAACCGCCGATAGGCATCCGACAACCCTCCCCCCCCCTCTGCCACCCCCCCCTCCCGCGGGCAGGCCCTGCGCCCCTCGCTTCAACAGGAGGCTCTTGGACAGCGGCTCTCTGGGGGGGGGCGGAGGGGCAGGCCGACCTGAGGCGGCGCGGGACCTTGGAAGCCGCCTTGCGGACGGAAGGGCCGCGCTCTCTGCGCTTCCAACCGCCTGGGAGCTGCGCGAAGCTGCGGGGCGAGCTCCCTGCAGCCTGGGCCCTCTTCGCTCTCTGCTGACAGAAAGCGGGACTGGAGCCGCCCACGCCCCCCGATCGCGGCCCTTCGGGACAGAGGCGGCCGCCCGAGAGCGGGCGGCGTTTCCGAAGGAGGATCGACCCGGCCTTCGAAACCAGCTCGAGGGCACGCTGACAAGCACCCCGGGGAGATCTGACGCTCCTCAGCTCGACTGTCCGCCAGGGCATCAGCAACAGCATTGATGAACGGAGCCCCCGGGGGCGCAGAGGACGCGCGCCGGGCGAACTTCCGATCGTCATCGGCCAGGTGGGAGGGAACGCGCAGGAGCTTGAACGATCCAGGCCTGCCGCGCAACAGCGCAAACAACTCATGCCACCAGCCCGCGTGCTCGAGCGTAAAACAATAGAACGTCAATTTAATCATGGAGCGGACATGTTTGACGTGAGCGCGCCAAATCTTAAGATCGCCGGCTGCTTCGACAGCCCTAACGCGCTCCACAATAGCCAGAAGCTCCACCCTCGGAACAACTTGCGCAGGGCTGTCAAGCAGCCCCGCGCAGCCCGAGCCCCAATTCACATCCCCCAGATTCTCCGAGACCAGGCGGCAGAAGGTCCGCGAGACTCTGCGCAGGAACGGATTCTCCCCCCAGCAGCACCCTGAACCGTCGACCCGATAGACTTCTCCAAGCAGGACGCCCGCTCCAAACCCAGACGCGCGCGCGACTGGCAGGGGGGGGGGGTCGAGCCAGCGGAGGGGCATCAGCCCGCGGCACCAGAAGCCAGGGAACAAGTCCAATTTCTCAGAGCCACCTGGAATCAAGAGGTTTGTGGCCGCGACTTCTGGGGGGACCACTGGGGCGCCAACGTGCTGGGCCCAAGCATCAGAATGCGAGTTGCACGTGCGCTTCCAGAACCTGTGCTTGCCAGACTCAGGCTCAAATTCACATCGCTGGCAGAGACTATCAGCGCGGTGGCCAGCCTCGAACCTCCTTTTTCTGTCCTGTAGCCACTGCACGTGATCAAACAAATCACCCCTGCAACGGCATGGCGGTCGTCGTTCTCCAACCTCGCCGCCAAACTCGGGACATGCTGCCGCCGAGCTCCATCCCCAACTCCTAAAGCATCTCCGTGCAATGCGGCCTCGCGCCACGCGGGGGCCTTGATAGAGGCCCCGAGGGCATCCTAGAGACAGGAGGGCGGGGCCGTTCCATTATCCAGGAGGCTCCGCTCATCCCCTTGAGGCTCAACCCCGAAGACACATGCGCGGCCTGGAGAGCCCCCAGGGGCCCCCGATCAAGTCGCCACTATTCGGTGGGTGGACTAAGTGCCCACACGTGTCTCGCTAAGACCTTGAGCTATTAACGCACGTCGAACCACGCTGCATGCCACCTTCCCCCAAATTCAAAGTTGACGGGCGTGGGCGGTAGATGCGAAGCAAGGGCATTTCCCAGTTGTGGTTGTCATCGTGTTGCATCGCCTTCCCGCCGTGGGCGTGGGCACTTTTTGTCCGGCCACCGTTTCGCGGCACGGCCCAGGGAGGCCTGCCACTTAACGCCGATCCTGTCAACCAGAACTGGGGGGGCGAAAAACACGGGAGAAGCAGGCCCCAACCAACCTGCGCACGCATGGAATGACTGGGCCCCTGCTGGCACCGAAACTTATCCGAATCGTCGCGGCGCAGGGGCCTCGCTGCGGGCCCTTGCTAGCCGGCCCGGCCTGGCCCCGAAGTTGCTACACCGTCGCCGGCGAAAGCCCGTGCGCCTCGTGGGCCCAGGCAGCCTTTGGAACACTATTAGCGGCAAACAGCTTCGAGGCCTTGCGACAGATTTTCGCGAACATTCGCGGAGCCGCCCGACGATCGCGCTTCAGCCTTAATCGCAGCAGCACCTCCACAGACTGACAAGTTCCCACGGTAGCGCCATTGCCAAGATCACGCGCTGCGATCGGGCATTGAAATCCGGTCGCATCATCGCCCGCCCCCCCCGCCCACTTCGGGCGCTGGGCGCGGATCTGGGCCGAGGAGGCCATCAAATAACACCTGGGCAGGGCGAGCGCGCGCTTCCTCCGCCGAGGTCCCCGGGGGAGGGCCCTGAGCACCACTGAGTGGATTGCTCAGATCCAGGAAGGCGGAAATACACATCGTCGACCCATTCCCTCAGCCGCGACCCCGGGGCAGCCTGCTGGGCGGCCTCTAGAGGGCCACGCAGATGCGCCCTGGCCTGGGGAACCGCTTGGCCACGCCCCGTCAGAATCCATCCCCCACGGTGGCAGCCCAGGGCGGGCCTCCTGCTGGATAGCGAGGGGCCCTGGTCCCAGGCAAACGTCCAGGGCCAGGGCAAAGGGGCGCAGAGGGCAATGGAGGTCGCAGGAGGCCCGGGCCAGGCCGGGCAGGCAAACCAAATCAAATCATAAAACTTCCTTGTGTCGAGCAAACCCCCAACCAGGCTGAATCCGCCGCCTAGCAGGGCCAGCTCCGTTTCCAGCTCGTCTAGCCATCCTGCGTGCTCGGCTGGCATGCCTAAAGTCTTGTCCCACGGGCCGTGGGCCCCCGTGCCCCGCGCACCGATCGCTGGCTCTCGAATGCGGCATCAGCGCAAGACAGAAACTGAGCAGGGCGATGGGCCCAAAGGCCTCCGTCCGCTTGGTCAAGAAGGGCAATGAGATTAAACGGTTCCCGAACGGGAATAGTTAATGGCCTCGCGCTCGATGGAAGACAACAGGCCAGCAAAGGCCTCCACGGCCTCAAAAACCGCCTCCTTGACCAGACGTGGTGGCTCACCATCAACTCCCTTGCCGCGGCGGCCGGGCATGGTCTTGAGCGCGGCCACAACTTGGGAGGGCGAGATCGGCTCGGGGGGGGGTCCGCCCTGGCGGCCACTCTTCAAGAGGCCAGCACTTTTCGAGCCTCGCCCTGGCCGCGGTGGCGGGGTGACCTCTAAAAATCGGAGCCTGCTTCGGGCCCGTGGCCCCCGCTGGAGCCTTCAACGAATTATGGGCGCGCGAGGCCGAAACCGCAAGGGCATCCGACAGCCAGACCATTCACCGCGCTCGGGCCTGCACAGCCGCTGTATTCGCTGCCTTCCTACCCCTAGACTGGGCATCGTCATGGAGCTGCTGGAGGCTCTCCACAGACACATCATGAAGTTGAGACAGCCATCTAAGCCAGTTGCCCAAGGCGGCCACCTTCCCCTCATCCGTGAGATCCAGGGCGCCAGGGACCTCCAAGCTCCCCAGGGCTTTCAAGGTGCTCCAAAACTGAGACGCATGCTTCGGGGAGGGGGGGGGGGGGGCGGCCGACTCCTCTAGGTCCGAATATGGATCGCAGAGCCTCGTGACAAACAGGAGCTGCACCTCGAGAGACTGCCAGAGACGCGCATGGCGATCCACCGACAGGGGGCCAGGGGCAGCCCCCTGGATGATCGGGCTCACCTTGATACGAGTTTGCTGGCAGCGCCCCGGCAACATCTCTCAATCTTTGCCCCGCATGCCTTTTCTCGCAGGCTGCGAACTCAAGCGCCGGCGCCCGCCCGCCCCGCTGGGCGCCGCGCGACAGAGCTGTCTCGGCATCGTCGCGCGCCGCTCCAGCGCGAGCCTCGCCGCCGCAAAGCGGGGGCGGAACGTGCTTGGGCGCTCCAGCCTGGAGAGGCGAGCCCGCTCCACCATCGCGATGTCCTAAGCTTTGGGCGCCGCCACCTTCCAGCCGCGGATGCTCCTAGGACGCGCGCCGATGTGGCGCCCGAGCGACGGGCGCGCGCCCCGCGGCGCAGAGCCCCTGTCGAACTTCACAGCAGGGGCAAACGAG